AGTGTAGCATGGTACAAACAGGTAGGAATCAACATACACTGCACTGCATCTAGTCTAGGCTAGCATGGTACAAACAGGTAGGAATCGGCATACACTACACTGCACTGCATCTAGTCTAGTCTAGCATGGTACAAACAGGTAGGAATCGGCATAGACTGCACTGCACTGCACTGCATCTAGTCTAGTCTAGTCTAGCATGGTACAAACAGGTAGGAATAAATATACACTGCACTGCATCTAGTCTAGTCTAGCATGGTACAAACAGGTAGGAATCAACATACACTACACTGCACTGCATCTAGTCTAGTCTAGCATGGTACAAACAGGTAGGAATCGGCATACACTGCACTGCACTGCACTGCATCTAGTCTAGTCTAGTCTAGCATGGTACAAACAGGTAGGAATAAATATACACTGCACTGCATCTAGTCTAGTCTAGCATGGTACAAACAGGTAGGAATCGGCATACACTACACTGCATCTAGTCTAGTCTAGCATGGTACAAACAGGTAGGAATAAATATACACTGCACTGCATCTAGTCTAGTCTAGCATGGTACAAACAGGTAGGAATCGGCATACACTACACTGCACTGCATCTAGTCTAGTGTAGCATGGTACAAACAGGTGGGAATCAACATACACTGCACTGCATCTAGTCTAGTCTAGCATGGTACAAACAGGTAGGAATCGGCATACACTACACTGCATCTAGTCTAGTCTAGCATGGTACAAACAGGTAGGAATAAATATACACTGCACTGCATCTAGTCTAGTCTAGCATGGTACAAACAGGTAGGAATCGGCATACACTACACTGCACTGCATCTAGTCTAGTCTAGCATGGTACAAACAGGTAGGAATCAACATACACTGCACTGCATCTAGTCTAGTCTAGCATGGTACAAACAGGTAGGAATCGGCATACACTGCACTGCATCTAGTCTAGTCTAGCATGGTACAAACAGGTAGGAATCGGCATACACTGCACTGCACTGCACTGCATCTAGTCTAGTCTAGTCTAGCATGGTACAAACAGGTAGGAATAAATATACACTGCACTGCATCTAGTCTAGTCTAGCGTGGTACAAACAGGTAGGAATCAACATACACTACACTGCATCTAGTCTAGTCTAGCATGGTACAAACAGGTAGGAATCGGCATACACTACACTGCACTGCATCTAGTCTAGTCTAGCATGGTACAAACAGGTAGGAATCAACATACACTGCACTGCATCTAGTCTAGTCTAGCATGGTACAAACAGGTAGGAATCGGCATACACTGCACTGCATCTAGTCTAGTCTAGCATGGTACAAACAGGTAGGAATAAATATACACTGCACTGTATCTAGTCTAGTCTAGCATGGTACAAACAGGTAGGAATCAACATACACTACACTGCA